TATATATATATATATACACATGCACAGGCACGCATATATATATGTATACATATAAATAAATATACACATACCCTCCCAGCCACAGCTTCCGCGTGCGCTCTCGTGTCCCCGCCCCCTCCATCCCGGCTAGGACGTCGCGACATCGCGCTGCGTGTCCCCGTTTGTCTCCGCCGTCAGCAGCGTCGACGAACCGTCCTCGGACACGGTGGCGCCCCCACTGTCGTACGGCGACGCGTCATCGCCGAGCTCCGTTATCGTCTCCGCCTCGCGACTGCGCTGCATGCAGGTGGCGCCACCGCCTCTGGCCGCCGTCAGCTTGGAGAGGAAGGTGTCGGACTCGGAGTGGTCGAGCGGCGACGCGTACGGCGAGTGGCCGTGGTGGTAGCCGTGGCCGCGGTGATAGTGATAGTTATGCTCGCCGTACTCCGTCTGGTTGCTGTACGTCGGGTAGGTCGGCGAGTAGTACTTTGCGTCGCCGCCGCCGCCGCCCGTGAGTACGTCCTCCGAGCGACAGCGCAGCTGCAGCGAGAGGTCCGGCGTCTGCTGCTGCCGCGGCGATGACGCCGCGGGCGCCGTTGCCGCGGGCAACCCGTCCTCGATGCGGATGCAGACGCTGCCGTCGGCGCGCCGCGTGATCAGCGGGTCGCCGGATGTGTCGTTCGCGGTGTCGCTCAGACTCTCGCTCGAGTTTGTCCTAAAGGTCACCTTGGTGGTTTCCGCGGGCGGCGGCGGGCGCGTGGCGGGGACAGGGGGCGCCGCCGACGTTTTCGCCCGTGGCGCCGCCTTCAGTCGCGGCGGTTTTTTCGGCTGCGATTCGACGGTCGCCTTTGTCGTGATCGTGCTGCGGATCGGCGTCGACGACGCCAGGGGGCGCTCCTGCTCCGACCTGGAAAACGAACGCGATTCGACGCAGCGTTAGGATGAACCTCAGCGCCGCACGTGATGTGCACGACAGAACCTTTTTGCTTCGAGTGACCAATCGGTGCTTTTTCTTTGAGCGATTTCTGAGTGGCGAAGCACATACATGAATAAGAAGCGATGCCATATATTGACTATAATTGATAAGTATAGACTCACTTAAACTGAGGCAAATAGTGATTAGGGAACTCATCGACATGCCCCGCAAGCTGGTACTGCTCGTAAAAGCAGTAACCTTGGGGCGACCTTCGCGCCGGAGACTGCGCGATCGGAGACAGCTTGCTACATGTGTCTGACGGATGTCCATACTCCCTGTTGTATCTGTAACAGTGTCGACCAGGGCGTGGCAGCAAGCAAACAAGCATGCAAGCATGCATTGAGAACACAACGTGTTAATTTCGATGGGATTGTGTTATAATGACTATTAGGTGAGGGGAGAGATGGGACCACACCATCGCTGTTATGTGAGGGTGGGTAAGGGTATTTTCGTGAAACGTGATCGGCCGTTTTTATACCTCGTGAACTGTGAATTGCAATTTATTTTGTCTGTGAACTGTGAATGGGCCACCTTGCGTGAAGCGTGATTTAGCTAAAAAAAAACAAATATACCAAATATGCCCAAATATACCAAATACCCAATACCGGGGAAAACCACCAAATATAGCCACCAAATATAGCCACCAAATATAGCCACCAAATATAGCCAAATTTTTAAAAAATTCCCGGGGGGGCATGCCCCCGGACCCCCCTAGCTGCAGAAGAACATATGGAAACTATATATATATATATATATATAATTATATATATATATATATATATATATATATATATATATGTGTAACAACATATAACGAGATACGGGGCAGGTTTGTTATGAATAAAGTTACCACGCACACGATGAAGACACTATACCTTAATTATTCATAATACATGCTGAATTTAAGTGTACAGGTGGCGAAGCAATCTATGGGCCGATTCATGGGATAGTTGTGCTTGCGCGTAGACTGTTATAATGTGGTAACAGTGCAATACTAACGCCAATGACCGCTATCAAATAAATACCTAACAACGACTTCGTCAATAATGCTGCTACCTATAATCAGGAGTAGATAATAGGAAACTCCATAATAACTCCTAGATAATCCAGAGACTGCCGCACTTCTACATGTCACTTAACCCGACCATGCTGAGATAATACACGACATTGACGTCAATACACAAGGTCATTCGATGTATGATCGTTTCCTGGAGCTAGCAATCACCTAAACACAATAATGGGAAAGACATCTAACCCTAACCCAGCAAAATAGGGGTAATCCTGGGATATGTTGGGGGTTACATGATTGTATCTAGTATTCACATAGCTCTACCTAAGTATGGCTGATATATGATGATGATAATAGTATGAACTCTGCAATGAGATCATATCAAGAGCAGATAATACACATGTGTATTATCTGCTCTTGATCATATATAGAAAGATGTGTCCATTTTTTTAAATAAAAAATTAACACCTCATTCTATTTTCATGTTTATATTTATCTGCATGGGTGCCTGTGTGTTTTTAATTCTCTCTCTCTCCCTCTCTCGTCCCCCTCTCTCCCTCTCCCCCCCCCTTTCTCCCTCTCTCCTTCTCTCTCGCTCTCTCTCGCTCTCTCTCTCTCTCTCTCTCTCTCTCTCTCTCTCTCTCTC